GGGAGCCGCGTGGCTGCAGCTGTCTGGGGAGACAGGTGCCCTGGAGCGGACCCAAGCACCCTGGGGTCTGTGTGGGGTGCTGGGGGTGTGAGTGCGTGCTGCCTCACCCATGTGGGACTGCTGGAATGTCTTCCCGGGACGCCTGGGGTGTCTGTCATTTCCCTGGAAAGGGGTGGGGGGTGGGGGGTGGGCGGGTGGGCGCCCTCCCTGGTCCCCCCTCCCGGGTCCCCTCCCCCTTCCCTGCCCAGCGCCTGCCCACAGTTGCAATACGAGGGCCTGATTTTGGTCCTGGACACCCTCTTCCTGCCTGGGCCTCAGCTTCCCCTCCAAGGGGTCCCGGGCTTGACTGACGTCTCGTTGAGCCAGTCAGTTCTTCATGCAAAGACCCTGTGCCTGGTGGCCCGGGGGTCTTGTCCAGGGGAAGCTCCAGGGCGGCCCGGTAGAGGAGGCATAGGGGTGGGGACACCGAGTGGCCCCTGGAAGGCAGGGAATGGAGAGGCAGGCCCAGGCTGAGGGCAGCGGGGCAGAGGCCCTCGGAAACGTTGAAGAGGCTCGTGGGTGTGGGGGGCTGGCGGCAGCTTGCTTGGTGGGATGGGGTGGGGGGGAGCAGGGGGGGCCTGCACGGCGCCACCTGAGGAGCAGCCCCACAGGTGGTCTCTGTGGCCTTCCTCCCTCTCTCACGTGGGAGCGGAGCGTGTGATTTGCAGCCCCTGGGGGTGGGTTTCACCTCAGGATCCAAGAGAGCTTCCTGCTGGAGCCTGGCGTGGGCCTGCCTGACACTGCGGGGAGTGTGCAGGGGTCCCCGGCATCCAGAATCTGGGTCGGTAGGACTTGGTGTCCATGGCGCCTTGCCTGGGCTCTCCCACGTGCTTAGGAGCAGTAGGAAGTGCGGGGCCGGTGTGGAGAGGACCTCAGGATGTGGGGAGGGAGGAGCCTCCCGCAGAGGAGCCAGCTCTGGATTTGAGGGGGGCCGTGGGGGGGAGAGAGGGCAGGACACCCCAGGCGGGGCCTTGCGTTGGAGAGCCCCTGAGCCCCGGCAGGGTTGGGAGGGGATTAGGGGCAATGGAAGGTGGGCTCCCTCCCGCCCCTCTGAGCCGTGCATCTATCACCTCGCGTCCCTGAACCCAGGATGGCCCTCCCCACCCCCATCCCTGCCCGCAGTCCTGGATGGCAAGGACCCCGCATCGCCAGCCAGAGGCAGTCTGGTGGGGGCTGTGAGCCCAGCTGCCGTGGGCAACACCCGGGGCCACGCAGACTCACCGGGAGCGGGGCCTCGGCACGTGCCCCGTGCGGCTGGCAGCTTCTCTGAGGTGGGCCAGGCACCAGGTGCTGGTGACGGGGAGGGTCTCTGTCCCCCGGGAATGGGCTCAGTCCCAGGCCGGACAGGCAGCCCGGGACAGAGTGTGAGTGGTGGCCAGCCTTCCTGTCCCCGTGGGGACATCGAAGAAGGGGCCTGGGATCCCCACAGCCCCGGGTTCAGGACCGGGAGTTGGGGAACCCCGAGCTCAGATCTCAGTGCCGCCCGCACGCACCATGTGACCTGGACCAGTCCAGATGCGGCTCCCGCCGTGCTCCCGGCTGAGGGCGCATGTGTGGCCCACCGGGCGGGAGGGCTGAGCACCGACAGCCTGAGTGTCCCCGCTGATGCCTGTGCTCTCTGGGTGGCCCGTCCTTGTGAGCCGCACAGACCTGCACGCCCCCCCCCCCACCCCCTCGGGCAGCACCGTGAACTGTTTCCTTCCTGGGTCGGATCCCAGACGGGCTGGGCCCACACTCCATCCTGGGCCTGAGGCTCAGCGAGGGCCCTCCCGGCTTCGGCCCCATTCCCGGCTGCTCCCAGCTGCCCCCAGGCTGCCGCCCCCTCAGCAGGGGTCCCCTTGGGCTCTTCCAGCTGCTGTGCTGAAGGCACCGTGTCAAGGTCACCGTGACACGAGGGCTGAATCCAGCAGCCACTTCTGCCGCGTCTCGTGGGCGTCCACCTCCGTCTCCACCCTCTGGGCCGGCCTCTCCCTGAGCCTGGAGGCCCGGAGGTTTGCCTGTCCCCAGCCGGCCCTCCCCGAGGCTCTCCGGCCCTGGCCGCAAGCGCATCTGAGGGCTCATGACCCCACAGTTATTTTTACATCTCCAGACGCCCACGTCCAGCCACCTGCGTGTGCGGTGTCCGATGGGCCTCTCCAGCTCACGTGTCCAGGACGGCGTGGCCCAAGCCCCGCCCCCGCAGCCCCCCCCCGGGGCCCCCCCCCCCCCCCCCCCCCCCGCAATCCAGTGTGATGGCTGCTCTTCCTGCCCACGGAGAAGTCCTGTGGGGAAGGTCCCGTCAGGCTGTCATCATGGTTAATGCAGAGCCTGACCCTGGCCCCCTCTCCCCGCCCAGCCTGGGCCAATAGCACCTCTTGCCTGACCAGCCGCAGGAGCCTGGAGGCTTCTGCTCTCACCCCAGGCGTCTTCTCTGGGCGCAGCCAGGCTGAGCCTCCTTGCCTACAGCCCCCAGGGCTCACCAGGCCCTCCTGACCAGCAGACAGCGTGGACCACTCTTCCCTCCCTCTCCTGCCCGCAGGCCCTCTGGGTTCCTACCTCTGGGCCTTTGCACTGGCTGTTCCCTGTAGCACAGCACCGATCCCTGCAGGGCTGCTGCACTGGCTCCTTGCATCACTTGGGAGTCATTTTTGTTGTGCCCTCTGAGAGAGTCTCGGCCCCGCGTTGGGGCCCCCGCAGCCACTGCCATCCCCTCAACAGTACTTCCCATGGTGGCCCCCTTTGACCCTGTCCCCTCTTGGGTGTCAGCTCTGTGAGGGCTGGGCTCTGTCCCCCGGGTCCCCCGTCTGCTCACAAGCACAATGAACTGGGCCGAGGGCTTCTGGGGAGACGCACCAGCCTGTGGCGCAGGGTGGGAGGTGTGGGAAGGCTCTGAGGGGTCCCGGCAAGGCGGAAGTTGCTGGAGGACAGGGGCGGACTCAGGGGCGAGCCATCTTCCCCAGTGCCGAGTGATGCTGTGGGGCTGTCCCAGGCCCACGCTGAGGTCCCCTGCCAGGCCACCCTGAGCTCGCCGGCAGGGTGGTGAGGCTGTGTTAACACCTGGCCTGGGCCCGGTGGGTGGCGTCCATCCCGCAGACGGAAAGGGGGGCTCTGAGCGCTGGGGGTGGGTCGACAGTCGTGGACGGGGTCAGCCAGCCTCCCACCCCGGAAGCCGTGCACAGGGAGGGGCCCGGCGGCCACAGCAGTCACGTGGAGGTGTGCGTGTAAGTGTGTGCGTGCGTGGATGTCTGTGTGTGTTGTGTGGCTGAGTGCACGTGTGTGTGTGCCTGTCAGCCCTCGGTGCCTTGGTTTACCTCCTTGCCTCCTCTGCCTCCTATCACCGTGATGGCCCCACGTGCTCCAGGGAGCCGCCCGCTGCCCCGGGCCATGCCCTCTCTGGGCTCGTGGACGGCTCTGCCTCCCGCGCCTGGAGCCACGTCACAGACACCCTTCAGCCCTCCTGCTGTGAACAGGGCGCACCCGGCCCGCGTGGACAGGAGCTGGATAGAGGCCCTTCCAGTGGGTGGCCCAGCGTGCTCCCTGAGCGGCTGACCCGGAGGCCTCACCGCAGGACCCGTCCCTCTGGGCTTCCCGTGAGGGGCGCGGCTGTGGGGTGCCCCGTGGGGCTCTCTGGCGGGGGGGGGTGCGTTCCTCAGCCCTGTGTCTGCAGGGTGCAGGCAGTGTCAGTGCCCCCCCCCACCCCGGCCGACCCTGCTTTGTCACGGGCAGGAAGGGAGAATTTCTGTTCCTCTGGTGCACTACCCCCCGGGGGCGGGCTTTAAAAATAAGACCAACTCATTGCCCTCAGGGACGTGGCGGGGAAGTGGCGGGGACGTGGTGGGAGCAGCTGCAGTCGCAGGGCCCCATGGGCCGCATAGTCACCGCGTCCACCCAGCCCCCTCCCCACGGTCCCAGCCGAGCTGCTGGGGGGCTCGGAGCACTGAGCATGGGGTGGACCCGAGCTGCTCCGGCCGAGACCAGGCCGTGGCCGTGGCTGTGCCCGGCCTTTCCGTCCACGTTTAGAAACGCGAGCAGTGACTTGGAGGACGTCCCAGGTTCCTGGGCTGCAGAGACCCGCTCTCTCGTGGTCCCCGGGGCTGGAGGTCCAAAATCAAGGTGTCGGCAGGGCCACGTTCCTCGCGGAAGGCCCTGGGGAGGCTCCCACCTGCCTCTTCCAGCTCCTGGAGGCTGAGGCGCTCCGCCTGCGGCCCCATCACTCTGCGACGGTCCTCACGTGGCCTCCTCCTCTCTGCGTCTGTCCTCTGGCCTGTGCCTTGTGAGGACGCTCGCGGTTAGATCTGGGCTCCCCCGGACGACCCGGGACCACCTCACCTGGAGGTCCTTAACTTGACCAAAAAGGTGGTGCTCCCACGCTCTGGGGTCAGGCGTGGACGCATCTTCCGGGGCCTGATCGGCCCCCGGCGGATGGGCGAGGGTGCCCGCGGTTGTGTCCATACGGGACGGGATGGCGGCCGCTCAGCCCGGAGGAGATTGGACAGGCTCGGGGACACGTGTGGCGCTCACACGCGGGCCCCCAAAACCCGTCCCATGGGTGCGCAGGTCTGGGATGGGGGCGCCCGCCCGGCCGCGGGAGGCAGCCGGAGGGCGTGGCCCTTGTAGCCGCCTCGACTCTAGCCCCGGAGTCGGCCGACCGCAGCCCCGAGCCACGGCGGGCCGCTTGTAGTAAAGTTGTATCGGAACACGGCCACTCACTCGCGTGTTACTCTGTTGTCCTCACAGTCGGGCCGCCGCGACGGACCTTGTGTGGCCCATGAAGCCAAACGGTTACTGTCTGGCTCTTTACAGGAAGGTGTGCTGACCCTGCTTGTGGCTATATTCCTGGGAGCATAACTCCTAGAACAAAGGAGGTGACAGTCTCGCTCTGCCGTGCAGGTCGGGCCGGGCCTAAAGTGACAGATCACCCCGCACCGTCCTCATGCGGGGCACCGGGGATGTCACTGTGCACAAGCGGAAGGGGGCCCGCCTTCAAGAGCTCACCCGCGGGGCTGGTGGGAGTGGGGACAGCAACCGGACAAGGCACAGACCCGGCTAGAAAAAGTGCTGTGAGGGACCGCAGAGCCTGCTGCAGGGACCGGGTGGCGGCTGCTTGTCGGACCAGGGACCGGGACTGTGGGGGCCGGGAGGCGGGGCTGTCCCCTCACGTGTGCTACCTCCTCCCTGCAGCCCTCCCTGGCTCCCTTTGTCCCGTGCGGAGGCCCTTACCCAGGCTCTTTCTTGGCTCCGGGGCCTGACTTCTCCGGTGACACGTGAGGGGATGTGTCTGCAGTGACACATGTCCTTTGCAGCCCGTGTGCCTTATTTCTCTGTGGCCCGGCTGTGAGCTTCCAAAGGGAGTGGGCCGAAGCCGCAGCCTCTTCCCGGGCTGGTACTGGGAGAGAACACACACCAGAAGGCTCAGGGGAGCACGTGGGTTTCTGTAGCTTCTGGGCTTTTCCCCCTCAAAACGGGAACGTGTTTGCTTTTTCCTGATGTGAGCGTCTCAGACACGAAGGACGGGTTTGCGAGCGGGACGGGCAGCAGGCTCGCGGTCCCCCTGACTTTGCGGCCGCTTCATGCCGCAAGGACAGAGGTGCGTCGGGGGCTGACGCTGCCCTCGGCCCTGACCAGGGAGCTCTGTGGACCCCCGTGGGCCCTCGGAGGGGCCGTTGCTGTGGTTTGCCGGGCCTCGCACGGCAGGAAGCACGTGGCTCACAACCGTGACTTGTCCCCGATTCGGCTGCAATGATCCGCGTGTGTCGAGTTCTTGCGGGATGTGGTGGTCACGTGGGTTGGGGGGGCCTGCTCTCAGAGGCCAGAGTGGGAACATCACCGCGCCCCTCCCGCGGGGTCCCCACAGCTTCCTCCCCCACCCTCTCCGGCTCTCACCAGGGGCCTTATTCCTCCAGCTTTCTCGTGGGATTTGGGGCATCTCACACTGAAAGGTGCCTCGGCGTCACGTCGGGCCCCCGAGCCCTCCACCCTCACAGAAGAACGGGTGGCCGGGGCCCAGGCAGGTGGGGACGCTCTGTTAGGCAGGCCCGCGGGGGGCCCAGGGCCATCTGATCCTCTGTGGCGTGCCTGGACCAGTGCAGGTGGACGGCGTGGGGGCCGCGCCCGGGGCCGCGTGCGGCCTCAGCGGCTCTGGCTTGCTGTCCCGCTGGGATGACGGGGCCGGCGACCATGATGCTGACGGAAAACGGGGACTCTAGGACTGAGGCGTGGCACCTGCCAGTCTTGCGGGCAGGCTGGCGTGGGGTCCGGCAGTGGGCCCGAGGGGGCAGTGGCTTCCTCCCCGAGGGCTGGAGTCCAGCGCACCCCCTGGAGGACGAGAGACCCAGGAGGTGCACGGGAAGGGGGCCCGTCCCCGCAGGCCTCGGGCCACAGCTCCCGTGGGCCCGGCGGCCCCTGAGGGTGGCCCCTGTGGGTCCCAGAGCCTGGGGCAGGGTGGGTGCCCTGGTGGGGGATAGGGTCGGGCCCAAGTGTCCCGGGCCCACTTCTGCCCCTGTGGCCCGTGGGCCGTGCAGGGTGGGCGACGCCCCTGGAAGATGAAGAGACTGTGCCTCCTCAGGGCGGCTGGGTGGCTCGCTTGGGGTCGTACCTCAAAGCCGGGACTCTCCGGGCGGGGGACGCCGGGGGCTTGGGGCGTGGTGTTGCCGGCCCACCGTGCCTCGTCCGGCGCCCTCGCAGACTGCCTCCTGATGCTGGCCTACAAGGACAAGTCTGAGCGAACCAAGGGCCTGCGGGAGCGCAGCAGCCTGATGCTGGAGGACATCTGCGGCCTGGAGCCCGGCCTGCCCTACGAGGGCCTGGCCCACACGCTGGCCATCGTCTGCCTGTCCCAGGCCGTCATGCTGGGCTTCGACAGCCGCGAGGCCATGTGCGCCTGGGACGCTCGGATCCGCTACGCGCTCGGTGAGGGTGAGTGAGGCCAGGGCGACAGACCCCGCGTCCCGTGGGGCCCTCATCCACAGGCCGCAGGGGCCGCGATGCAACTCCAGGGTGCGATGCGGGAGGGTTTGCCGAGCACCTGCCGGCCCCCCCCCCTCCCGCCAGGCTCTGCGCTTGGGGTGGGCGGTCGCGCTCGGGGCCTGTGAGGGGAGGGGCGTGGGGGGAGCAGCTGGGGCCCCGGGACCTTCCGAGCTCCTGACTCGATCCCATCAGAACTAGAGCCGTTACCCCGAGCGGGCGCTGGCCAAGCAGAGGGAGCTTCCACAGGCCTGCTGTTCGGCCCCTCCCCTGCCCGGAGCCAGGTTCTGGGGGAGCGAGGCCACAGTCAGCGTCCCGCTGCACCCCGCTGGGGGCGCCTGAGCCAGGGAGGCGGGGTCGCCAGGCCGGGCCCAGAGGAGGGCCGGATGAGGGCGGGCGGCCCTCACAGCGGACGCCAAGGAGCACAGCCTTTAGAAACGTCCAGATCTCGCACAAGCCAGTGATGAACGCAGTACCAACATCTGGGGGGAGGACAGGTTGCAAGCCTACACGGCCCTTCCCCTTCCTTCCTGACCCAACCCCGAAACCCTGAGCGGCCTCGTCTTTATTCAGACCTTTGATACTTGGCTCCTCACAGACTTTTGCCTTAATATTTATTTGCTTAAAATAATCGTTACAGTTTCACTGGCCTCTGCCGCTGAGCGTTGGGGGCCCGAGGAGGGGGCTCTCTCGGGAGCCGGCTGAGGCCGAGTCCGGCTTGTGAGGACCAGGGCGGGGGGGGGGGGCGCGTGGGCAGGGCGGCCCCCCCGAGGGCCTGCCTGCCTCCAGAGGTGGTGACGGGTGCCCGGGCCGGGAGCTGAGGGCATCCCGCCTTCAGGACGGACGCCTGGGAGCTGCCCCCTCTGCCGGGCCTCTGCTCCCAGTGATGCCCTCTCACCCCTGCCCTGCCCTCAGTGCACAGGTTCCACGTGACGGTGGCTCCAGGCACCAAGCTGGAGAGCGGCCCCGCCACCCTTCACCTCTGCAACGACGTCCTCGTCGTGGCCAGGGACATCCCTCCGGCTGTCGCGGGGCAGTGGAAGCTGTCTGACCTCCGGCGCTACGGGGCCGTGCCCAGCGGATTCATCTTCGAAGGCGGGACCAGGTGTGGGTACTGTAAGTATGCGGGGCCGCTCGGAGTTCGGCTTCACCCCAAAACCCTCGGCCTGGAGCCGCCCGCCCCACCCGTGTGCTCGCTTGGCTGGCGTCTTGGAAAAGTGGTGGGAGAGGCCAGGTGTCTCACAGCCCAGTGCTCAGCGCTGAGGCCACCGAGGAGGGAGGACGGACCCTCCGGCTGCAGCCCACCCGCACCCCTGCAGCCAGGCCTGCCTGTCACGACGCATGGCCTTGTGCCTGAAGTCACAGGGTTCGGACTGAGTGAGAAACAAAAACAGGGGCGCAGCCCCCCCCCCCCCCCCCCCCCGCCCCCATGCCGGGACACGTGTGGACCAAGGATGCCCCGTGGACACACCATGCCCGGGGGTGCGGCAGGGGCAGGTGAAAAGCTATCCCGATGTTACAGATGCGCCCCCCTCAGAGCCCCGAGGGCCGCCGGGTGTGCTGGGGGGGGGGGTAGCTGTGCGCCCCCATCTCCGTTCAGCCTGGGACCTCCCCCGACGGCAATTGGGGCCCACTCCCTTGCGTGCTCCACAGAGGGGCACCAGTCCCCCACCCCACAGGCTCACGTGAGGGTGACGACCGCAAGGGCTCACAGCAGGGTCTGTCACACGCGTTCGGCCAGGTTTGGGTGGCATCCACCGGGCTCTGGGACCTGGGTCCTGCCGGGATCCCCCCGGTAGAGGGGCTGTGCTTGGGGCCGTGTGCGTGCCGGCCGGCTGGGCCCTCGCTCTGCAAAGGGCGGGCAGGGGGGACCTGGCCGGCTGGGGCCATGTCCCAGCGGGTCTCGAGGTAGGGGCCGGCCCTGTGTGGCAGGCAGCCTGCGGGGCCCTGTGTCCAGGAGAAAAGTCGTCGGCCTCAAAGACCAACGAGCAGGTGAGGCCGGAGCCCTCGCTCGGGGCAGCAGGGCGTCTGTCGCTGGCTGTGGCGGGTCCGCGGGCTGGGGCAGTTTGGGCGGTGGCCCCTGGAGCCCCGGGGTGGGCCCAGCTGCCGGGGAGCCTCCTCTGGGCCGGCATCGGGGACAGGTGAGATGCCTGCTGTTGCCCCCTGCTGGATGCGGCCTTGGGGCCCCTGGTCTGGCACAGTGGAGGTCCCAGCGCTCTGGGGTCTAGAGCGGGGCGGGGGCCAGGGGACCCTCACCCAGCTGTGTGGGTGGTCAGAGCCGGGGGCCACGGTGCGCTGGGTCTCCCCTGGAGGAGGGGGCATTATGTGGGGCTGCTTTGAGGACGGGGTGCACGCCGCCCGGGGGTGGTGCCGGCGTGTGCCCCCAGGGAGGCCGGTCAGGAGGACCAGCCGTCATGTGATAGGACGCACTGACGTTTTCCCTCCGAGGCCTCAGAGCGGGGTGGGCTCCCTCCTGCCGATCAACAGCGCCGGACGTCGGGCCTTGGCTCTGGTGGGCAGAGGCTGCTGTGATTTCCCTGGGCCGCCGGCAATGCAGTGGGGGCCCTTCTGGGGCCGTCCTGATGCTGTTCCCGCTGTGGGACGCTGACCCGGGAGCGCAGACGTGCTGGGGATTTAGGCTTCCCTGTTGCCCCCGGCTGTGCGGAGGCCGCCGGCCAAACGCCTGGGGGGACAGGTCCCGTGCGGCTCTGTTGTCAGGGACAAGTTCGCACGGCTCTCCCTACGTAAGCTGGGCTTTACGCTGTCCTCGATCCAGGGCTGCGGGTGGAGGGACGGTGCACCCCTGCACGTGTGCTCAGACCACCAGGCCACTCAGGCCCGGGCGTCCTGGGGCGAGGGAGGGTAGTTCAGGTCCAGGGCGGGGCGTGAGTCGGTGTCCTGGGGTTGCCGGACCGAATTATCCCAAACTGGAGCCTCAGAGCAACAGAAACGGTTCCCTCATGGCTCTGTCCCAGGTCAGGGTGTGGGCCCGGCTGGCTCCCTCCAGAGGCTCCAGGGAGCCTCCCTCCCGCCTCTTCCGGCCCCTGGAGGCCGCAGGAGGCCCTGGGCTTGTGGCCACGTGAGTCCAGTCTCTCCTCTGTCGCCACTTGGCCATCGCCCGGGGCCTTCTCTTCCGACTCCATGGGACTCGAGTCACCGGATTTAGGGCCACCCGACAATCCAGGACGCCCTCTTCTCGCCTCCCTCGGTTATGCCTGCAAAGGCCATTTTTTCAAATAAGGTCAAGTGACACATTTTCGGGTATAACCTAGCCTTTGGGGACACCATTCAACCCATGATGCGAAGGCTCTAGAATTTGGACCCTGACGGGCCCAGGGCCCCGGGCGCATTTAATCTGGAGGACAGAGAGCTGGGCTGGAATCACTGGGGAACCTGGGAGGTCTGGGGTGTAAGGAATTCACGTCGTCTCCGTCCCCTGGTACAGCCCGAGCCCGGCCCCCGCGCCCCCCAGGACCACATCCCCTTGGCCCTCGGCCACAGACAATTCTCCAGAGAGCAGGAAATTCTCAGAGAGCTGAGACATTTGGTGTGACTGTCAGGGGTGGGGTCAGGACCCTGGAGGGTGTGGAGGTGGGGTCCTGGCCTGGTAGGCGAAGGGGGGGCATCAGGCCGGGTACGTGGGGGCTCCGTGTGGCTCTGGGTACCTTCCAGGTGGGCATTTTCTCTCTGTGGCCTGCACGTGGACAGTGGCCTGTTCAGAGTCAGATGGGAGTGGGCTTGTTGGCTGGGAGTCCAGGGTCTCCCAGTGTGGCCTCTCTGTCTCTGGGGACGGCCCACGGTGTGTGGTTAGGGCTTAGGGGTGTGAAAGGGAATGGGAGGAAGGGGGCCGCCCAGAGCCCAGGATGGCCATGTGAGCTGGGCCTGAAGGCCGGTGGAAGTGTCCAGGAGGGGCCCAGAGGATCTCTGTCCCTTGCATGGGCGCCCCCCCCCCCCCCCGGTCAAGGGCATCTCGATGGCATTTCCACATCCACGTGAGCCAGCTGCATTTGCAAAGGATCAGGGTCCTTGGATGCTGAGGAATTTAGCAGGTGTCAGAAAGGTCCCCGAGCCTGTGGCAGAGGCACGTCGTGGACGGTGACCCTCAGGAACACCCCGCCCATGTCCTGGGAGTGGCCTCCGTCTGTGCTGCCCCTCCTCCGCTCGTTTGCCCGGCTCTCTGGGTCCAGCTCACTGCTTCAGTCTCTTGGGGCACAGTGAGCATTTTTAAATGACTTTCAAGCGAGTAAAGGACGAAGGCTTAAACCGGGAGAAACTCTCTTGCTGTGTATTTAAAGCACCTGTGCTGTCCAGCTGATACGTCATCTCGGCCTCCCTGGGATCTGGTGGTCTGAATGCCGGGTGGTCCTGGCAGAGCTGGCTGAAACCCTGGTCTCTGAGCCCGGGAATGTGGGCAGAGGAGGGGATGTGTTCGGTGGCTTCTCCAAGCCAAGTGGGGGTTGGGGCTGGGGAGCACGTGGCCAGGCGGGGAGAACTCAGAGCCCGTATGAGACAGGTATGAGACGTTTCCGGTCCCCAGGGCGGCTGTGGGTGGGGCACAGACTCCAGCACCCCAGAGGGGACCCCGAGTCCCGCTCTTTCAGGGGGAGATCCCTGTGATAAGCCCGACCGGCCCCCTGCATAGACGGGGGCGATGGGACCAGCCCCGCCTTCTCCGATGGCTCTGGGCCAGCAGGTCACCGTTGACACAGTGTTCCTGGTGGCAGAGAGTCAATCTGAGTCTCCCAGCCTTGGCGTGGCTCTGGGAGGACCTGGGCTCCGTGGAAAGAGCAGGGCCTGGGCTGGCGTCTCCACCCGAGGCTCCCGGCCCACGGCTCAGCTCCGTGTCCCACGGCAGGGATGGGGAGGACGCCGGCCGACACCCTCTGCTGCCCTCCCACAGCAGCCCTGAACACCGGACCTGGGGCACGGGGGCTGCCTCTGGAGGCTGGCAGGGTGCCTCTGGCCTCCTGGCTGCTGGGTCACTCAGGACAGCATTTGAGAGAAAGGGCTGATGGACAGAGCCCTCAGCCGGCCCCGGGGAGACGCAGAGAAGTGGAAGATCCCAGACCTGCCCTGAGGAGCCTCTTACCTGAGCTGGGAGTGCCCAGGTACCCAGTGTGGCCATGGGGCCAGGGCGGCCCAGCTGCCCGAGAGGAAGGTGGGTCGCCGAGGAGCGGCCTCAGCTGGACCTCGCAGGAAGCTGGGCGTCGAGGGAGACAGGCCACCCCTACTCGGGGACGGAGCCCAGTGCCGCGGCTCACCCGGCAATGTCCCTACACTCTGCCCAGGGTGGTGCTGGGTCCTGCCCGGGCCGTTGTGCCCCAGGGACAAGTATGCGTGGGTGTGTGCACGTGGGTGTGTGCACGTGCGTGTGCGCACGTGGGTGTGCGTGTGCACGTGTGCGCGCGCGTGTGTGCACATGGGTGTGTGCGTGTGCACGTGTGTGCATGTGTGCGTGTGTATGCGTGTGCACGTGGGTGTGTGCGTGTGTGTGTGCATGTGCGTGTGCAGGGTTGTCACAGCGATCGGGGCACGTGCCGGGCACTTAGCGGGAGTGGCTGCCAGGACGTTAAGTGCCCTGCAGTGTGGGCTCCGTCCTGCACTGGTGGCTGTGAAGAGGGTGCGGGGGGCCTCCTGGGCACGGGCAGGACAGAGCCTGCTTCCTGGAGGAGGGGTTTGTTCTGTTTGTTTTTTGGGGCAAAACATACATAGCACAGAATTTACCATTTTAACCATAGTTAGGCGGACAGCTCAGAGGCATCAGGTACATTCAGGGTCATGCGGCCGTCCCCACCCTCCATCCCAGAAGTCTTGTCTTCCCCGGCTGACACTGGCCCCAGTGAGCGCTAACCCCCGTGTCCCCTCCCCTGGCCCCTGACGCCCACCGTCCACTTTGTCTCGATGACCTGGCTCCTCCTCGGGGCAGTGGGACCACGCGGTATCCGTGTCTTCGTGAGCATCGTGTCCTCCAGGCCCATCCCCGCGGTGGCAGGTGGCAGGGGGTCCTTCCTCGAGGCTGACATCCCACTGTGTGGATGGACCACGCCGTGTGTGTCCTTTCCTCTGTCGAGGGACTCCTGGTTTCTTCCTGCCTTGTCTCTTGCGACTAATGCCGCTGTGCACGTGGGGGTCGGGTGCCTCTTTCACATCCTGCTTGCAGCTCCTACTGGGGCCCCCAGACGTGGGATTGCTGGGCCGGACGGTGGTTCTGTGTTTGAGTTTCGGAGGCGCCCACGCGCCGTTTTCTGCAGGGGCTGCACCAAACGGGTGCGTTCCCGCTGGCGGTGCACGGGGTTCCGGGTCCCCCACCCTGCCTCATCAAGGCCCGTTTTCTTCTTTTTTGTTTGTTTTTTTTTAAATTTTTTAAAAATGTTTATCTTTGAGAGAGAGAGCATGAGCAGGGGAGGGGCAGAGAGAGAGGGAGACACAGAATCTGAAATGGGCTCCAGGCCCCAAGCTGCCAGCACAGAGCCCGACGCGGGGCTTAAACCCACGAACCGTGAGATCATGACCTGAGCCGAAGTCGGACGCTCAACCGACTGAGCCACCCAGGCGCCCCTTTGTTTTGTTTTTAATCACAGTCTTCCTGGTGGGCAAGATGACCGGGTGAAATTTACAACTTGATTTCAAGTGAACTCCTTTAGTTGAACTTTGATCCTTCCTCCCAAAACAAGGGCAGAGAAAAATGAAATTTTAATCAGTAGAGGTTTGACTCTGTTAGGAAACCCACAGGCCAGGGGTATCTCACAGGTGAAAGTCTAACACCAGGCAGGTCTGGTGCTGCCTGGACAGAGCTTTCTAGAATCCTCTCCGCACGGGAAGTCCTCCAGATGCTTTCCAACGCTCTCTCCCCGGTGGGACTTCACCGTGTGGTCCTTGTCTCTGTGGAGCCGGGATGCTGACCCGCTGGCAGAGTCAGGACACGGGAGGTCATCTGAGGACTAACTTCCAACGGGCATCAGCCCACAGAAGTGGGAACATGGCACGTTTGGATGAAAGAGTGTTTTTTTCCCCTTGGAGCTGGTGGCCCTTTCCGTGGGGTGCAACACCCATGCCACTGGGGATCGTGGCTGGGGGTGATTGCACTTGCCAAGCCTGTGAGGTCTGCCTGTGGCCCCTGGAGCCCGCAGTGTCTGCCCACAGCAAAGGGCTGGCCTCCCGCTCAGCAGACCCTCCTCCCCGTCTCCCTGTGTTGATTATCGCGGAGCAAGGGACACCCCAGAACTCGGTGGTTCTTTCATTGCTGGTGACCCTGTGGGTCAAGGGTCTGGGTGGGGTGGCTCGTCCCTGCTCCGTGTGGCAGACAGATCGCTCGGGTAGTGGCATTCGGTGGGCGGCCCTGGCCGGAAGGCCCAGGATGGTCGCGGACACGGACCCTCGGGTGGGGCTTTGTGGATGGGGAGGGAAGGCGGAGCAGGGGTTGTCTCCGTAGTGGCCAGGTGGCAGAGTGGCCCTGCGTCCTCCGGCCCTGCAAACGGGCAAGCAAACGAGCCTTGAGCAACGCTTTCGGGGGTCGGGGGAGCGGGGTCGGCTTGCCTCTTCTTCCCTCTTTCCATCCCCACACCAGTGCTGGGGGTCCCCTGGGCTGGACACTGGGGCCCAGTGCCTTGGAAGCGGTCCCTGCCCGTAAGACACCAGGCTGGGCGGCCAGGACAGCACCCAGATAAGGGGGTGTCACAGGGGACGCCCCAGAGGAGGCGCTCCCCGAAAGCGGCCCCGAGTGAGCGATCTGGGGTCAGGGGTCCGGAAAGGCAACGTTAGGTACGCAGGGTCCCGCCAGGTGAGGTGGCATTACGGGGGGCCGGGGGTGTTGAGGGACAGGGAGGTGTGCCGTCCACCTCAGGGGGCTCCGGGTGTCCCAGAGCCTGGGGCGGGGGAGGGGAGCCCGAGCGCCAGCCAGCGGTCCGCGCCCCGCGAGCTGTGGCCCGGAGGCCTCGCCTCCCTCGGGGGCGGGAGACGTGTGCCGTCCCCAGGGAACCTCTGGCGTCAGCCCGCTGGCGTGTGTGGGGGTGGCGGCCGGGCTCCCAGGCCTCACCGGCTGCGCCTCGGGGAGCGTGACGCTCAGCAGACGCCTGGTGGAAGGCTGCCGGCTCCGCTCCCCTCGTAACGTGGTTTTTTATAGTCGGGGGACTGGCTGTGCCGTGACCTCTGCCAGCTGACTGTAAGCTCGGGATTAGAGGCCCGGCCCTTTGTGCGCCGGCGGCCCGGCCTTCCTCTCCCCGGCCCCTCAGCCACTGGCGGGGCGCGAGCCGGCGGCTGGCAAGGCCCAGCTCGGGGGCCCATCCGTCCGGCCCGAGGCCCCGTGGTGCCGGCACGTGCCCTGTGGCCCGGCGGCCTCTCTGGGCCTCAGTTTCCTCATGGTTAAAGCCGGCGTGTCACCTGGTCCAGGGGCGTTGGACGGATGGAGCGCCCACAGCTGGAGGGCGCTGCCCACGCCCCCCCCCCCCAGCCCTGGTGCAGCCTCGGAGGGGCACGGCGGCCCTGCCACGTGTCGGGGCTGGCCTGCGTCCCTGGGAGCCCGAGAAGGCAGGCCGTGATGGTGGCCGGCGGCCCACGCATCCCCCTGCCCACCCCGGTCTGCCTGTAGCCAAGGGACGGGCACGCCTGCCTTTCTTTGCGCGGCGGGCAGAGGGCGGGGCTGAGGGATTCCTGTGCGGTGACACCAGCCGAGTGTCCACGTGGCCCGCTGTCCCCATTCACTGGGCGGGTGGTGAGGGATTTCATTCACCCTGGCGGGGTTAGGCTGCGGGCTGTGCTGACTCACGCGGCTTGCCCTCTGCTGGCGGGGGCCCCGTGGGCAAGACCTCAGCCCCAGCCCTCACGCCGTGGCCCGGTTTCCTGCCCCAGAACAAGGCCGGGAAGGGGGCCTGTGCGGTGGGGGGACGTGTCACCGGCCACAGCGGCGGTGGCCACCTCGATTGTGGGGCGGGCCCAGCTCTCACATCTTCCTCCCCCTCAGAGCAGCCCTGGGTCGGGAGAGCGGGACGGGGGCACCTGCCGAGGCGCGGAGGTCTCCTGGCTGCGTTCTGGGATGTGGACCCTGCCCCAGGCGGCCCCTGCGGTGACCAGGGGCGTCCTCACGGGCTTCCTCCCGCGGCCACATCCTCCCAAAGCAGCCCAGCTCCCCCTGCTGGCCCGTGGAGGCTGGCAGAAAGAGTGGGCACCAGGCTTACAGATGCAGCGAGGTTCCCAGGGCCGCCCGGACGCGCCATGTGGGTTTGAAGGACGGGGCGCGGTTGGCCGGGGCCCGACGGGCTCTCCCTCCCCGCGTGGCCGTCTTGCGGGTCTGCTCCAGGCTCCCGCGCCGTCCCTCCTGGCGGCCACTGGGCCCGGCTGACAGCAGGGTCTGTCCCCACCCTGCAGGGGCCGGAGTCTTCTTCCTGTCCTCAGCCGAGGGAGAGCAGATCAGCTTCCTGTTCGACTGCATCGTCCGCGGCATCTCCCCGACCAAGGGCCCCTTTGGGCTGCGGCCGCTTCTCCCAGGTGCGTGTGGGAGGGTGGCCTGGGTTGGAGGGGGGACGCCGGGTCCGGTGGGCTGACCTCGCGAGGGCTCACGCTGCCGGACTCCCCGGGCGACCGCTCGCATCCCCGCTGCCCTTCCGGGCCAGACTGGGGTGGGGGCCTGGCCCCACACGACTGGTGCTGTGGGTTGAGGTCAGGACGGGCCGGGTCCGAGCTGGAGTGGAGGCTGCTTTGTGAGGTTGCCTGGTGTGCGGAGTCTCAACTGGGGGGGGGTGTGGCTGGGGCGCGTTCGTCACGAGCCCTGGGCCGGGGCGGAGCCGGAGCCCAGAAGGGCCAGGCTGCCCCAGGCACTGGGGGGGGCTCAGAGCAGGGCTGGACCCCTAGGTTCTGGTCCCCCTCTCCCACTGGAGGAAGGTCTGCCCTCCCCTCGGGGCCGGTGTGGAGGCCTGAGCCCAGCTGCCGCGGGAGGGGCAGAGGCTGGTCCCCGAGGCCACACCGGGTGGCACATACACAGGATAGCCGGGGCTCCCCGGAGCCCCGTGGGGTGGCACTTGTCCCGCTGTCCAGGTGGGAGACAACAGCCCCTGGCCGTGCAGCACGTGGTCAGTGAGCTCACATCTGTGGCCTCCTTGTGCGGGCAGCACAGCCAGGGTGCGGCCCCTCATCCCACCTCCACACCCCACACAGGCCCAGCGGGGATGGGCTGGGGACCCAGGGCGTAGCTCCTGTGGCCTGAACCTCCACAGTCTGGGCTCCGCTGGATGGTGTGGTGGCGCCCTCTGCTGGCACCCTCCTGCCTTGCAACCACAGGTGTGGCGTAGGCGATGGATGTGGATGGGCGGGTGTGGACAGGACTGTGGATGGGCAGTGTGGACATGGGGTGTGGACAGGACAGTGTGGACGGGCGGCATGGACAGCAGGGTGTGGACAGGACAGTGTGGACGGGCGGCGTGGACAGGATAGTGTAGACAGGACAGTGCGGACGGGCGGCGTGGACAGCGAGGTGTGGACGGGCGGCGTGGACAGGATAGTGTAGACAGGACAGTGTGGATGGGCAGTGTGGACAGCAGGGTGTGCACAGGACAGTGTGGACGGACCAGCGGGGTCTGCCCTGTGCGTCTGGCTGGAGTTTTGTCTAGGCCCCGTGATCACCAGGCTCTCCTGACATGCAGTCTCCACTGTGTCCGCAGCTCAGGCCCCGGGCTGTCCGGGGTCCTCTTGCCTTGACCCTGCTCGGTTGGAGCCACGTGGACACCAAGGCCCAGGGAGGCTGGCCTCCTCATGCTGACGGTCGGGAGGGGAGGGCAGGGTCCACCCCACCCTGAGTGTACCCTGCGCGTTCGTGGCCCGGTCCCACTTTGCAGATGTGGACGAGGGGCTCGGGGAGCCCGTCTGACGCCGGTGTCTTGCTGCCCCAATGGCTGCCAGACAGGAAGTGGTCAGGAGGACACGCGGGCGTCCCCGCCCCGGGCGTCGCCAGGACCCATGCCCCCTGTAGGGGCCTGCCCGTTCCGGGCACGGGACACAGGCTGGTGGCCGGGGGCCTGGAGGAGGCAGCTCGGGTGCCCTGAGACTGGTGTTCGGTAGCTGGCGAGTAGGTGTAGGGAGAAGCTGGGACTCCTGGGGGTCACCTGTGGCCCTGCTGTGGCCTTGGGGCAGAATCAGCACAAGTGTGGCCCCGGCGGTGCTGGTCCCCCGTGATGTCCTGGACGGCATGCGGCCTGCGGCTGGGGGTCCCGTGGGGATGGGGCTGAAGCCGCGTCTCTGCCGACTCTCCCTCTGCCGCAGACCCGAGCCCTGGGGGGACCCCCACCGCGGAGGAGCGAGTGGCCCAGGAGGCCCTGGAGGCCCTGAAGCTGGAGAAGCGGCTCAGCCTCCTCTCCCATGTGGTCCGGCCGGGGAGCGGAGGTAGGTGGGCCGCACCTGCCGCGGGGAAGGGGTCGACCTCTGGGCTCCTGTTTGTTCCTCCCCTGTGCTCATTCGTTCATTCATTCCTTCTGCTGTGCTCGCTCCTTTGTTCCTTGCTTGTGATGCCACACACACCACTTGCCAGCCTGGGCCCTGAGCAGAGGCGTGGTGCTGCCTGAGAGCCGGTGAGAGCTGGGTCTGAATCCCTGCCGGCCACCAGCCACGTGGCCTGACGAGGCCGTGGCCTCTCCTGCCTCAGCTTTACCATTCGCGCTGAGACAGAAGGGCCCCTTCTCAGCTCCTGGCGACTCTTGGTTTTTGGAAAAACAGACAGAAGGGGCTGGCGGCCAGCCAGGGGCCTGCCTGGGGGTGGGGGGGCCCGCAGCCCGTCTGTCCTCTCTGACTGCTGCCAGTCCCATGCCGGGCACCGGGAGGACCGGGGCCTCCCCTTCCCGTCCAGGCCCGCCCCCGGAGGCAGTCTCAGTCTGTACCGAGCAGCGGCCTTACGGCGGCTCGTGTCGGTTCCCGGAGGGTGGTGGCCAAGGGGGCGGGAGGAGGGCACAGGTCGTAGAGGGGGCTGGAGGAGGTGAGGGGCCTGTTGTCGGGCAGCGGCCGGACCCGCGTGAGCCTCCGGGCAGAGGGGGAGCCCGGAGAGGGGGTGCTGCCTGCCGTCGCCCCCAGCCCGCGCCCCCTGAGTCTGCCCGAGCCCCGGAGCAGCCTCGACAGCCCCGCCCCTGCCCTCTGTCTCAGGGGACGACCGCAGCCTGTCCAGCTCGTCCTCGGAGGCCAGCCACTCGGACGTCAGTGCCGGCAGCCGGCTCACGGCGTGGCCCGAGCAGTCCTCGTCCTCGGCCGGCACGTCGCAGGAGGGCCCGGGGCCGGCGGCCACCCAGGCCCCCGGGGAGGCCGCGCCGGGCGCCTCGAGGCCGCCACCCAAGCCCCTGCGGCCGCGGCAGCTGCAGGAGGTCGGCCGCCAGAGCTCGTCGGACAGCGGCATCGCCACGGGCAGCCACTCCTCCTACTCGGGCAGCTTCTCGTCCTGCGCGGGCAGCAGCCTGGACGTGTGGCGCGCGGGCGACGAGTTCGGGTCCTCGCTCAGCCTGCCGCCCGCGGCCGGGGTGCCCGACCCCAGCCTGTGCGCCTGCCCGCCGGGGACGGCCGAGTACCAAGTGCCCACTGCCCTGCGGCCACATTATGACACGCCACGCAGCCTGTGCCGGGACGCCAGGGACCAGACCGCCACCGCACAAGGCAGCCCCGACGACGGAGGGGCCGGGGACTTGGGTGGCCAGGCGTCCGCGGGGTGTCCCTCCGGCTGGCTGGGCGCGAGGCGGCGGGGACAGGCGGCGGAGGCCCCGGGCAGCGAGGCCCCCGGCGGGGCCTGGGAAGCAGGCAGTCCCCACGCGGGGCTTCCTCCGGCTTTCTTTTCCACTTGTCCCGTCTGTGGAGGACTCAAGGTAAACCCCCCTCCCTGAGAGCCGTGGCCCAGGCCCGCTGCTGCGGGGGGCTGGTTCGTCTCTCCCGACAGGAGGGGAGGGGGCGCCTTTGTGCTGCTGGCGGAGCCAGCCGCTGTGTGGCGCAGTGGGGAGGGCACAGCGGCGGCAACCCCAGAGCCTCCTCCTCTCTGGGCGTGAGGCCTGCAGGGGGGGCCCACGGGACTGACCGGGATGCGGCCGGAAGTACGTTCTGGAAAAGCGGGGCAGGCCGGGGGCTGGCAGAGTCCCAGAGCCCGAGGATCAGGTGCTGGGGGCACAGGAGGGTGCTGTGTCCTAGGTGGCTCAAGCCGTGCCCTCGGGGTGAGCAAGGCTGGGGGCGCCCCTCGCTGGCCTGTGCCACTGCCTGCCTGCTGGACGGCCACTCTCACACCTCAGGTCCGTCCCCTCCAGTGCACAGTCATCCCGCCCGACAAAAGTTAGGTCCCCCTGCAGCCGCCGCAGACCCCCGGTTGCCGGGCCAGGAGCACGGCACGTCGTGCGTACGAGAGCTTTACCGATCTGCCCCGCCCCGCCCCTCCTCTGCAAGGCAGCGCCACTGCTGGCCCGTCCACCAGGGGAGGAAACTGAGGCTCAGGAGGTACAGGGGCTTGTAGGGTCTGGGTGTCCACGGCTCACCCGCCAGCCTTTGCCTGAAGCCGCAGCCTCCGGGGTGAGGGCTGGGCCGGGGGCAGGGTGGTGATGTCCCTTCCACCAGCTAGCCCGGCAGGGCCAGCTTGCCAGGGGGCCCCTGTGGAAGCTCTAGAAGCTGCACCGTCCTCCCCCGCCACCCCCCTGGCTGAGTTCGAGGCTGGAGCTCGGGCCTCCGGGGCCCGTCCCTTGGCACCCGGAGGGCACGTGGGCGCCCTCCGCGTCTGTCTGCTCGCCTGCATGGGGTGCGGCTGCGTTGCCTGGTTTGTCCATCGCTCTGCGGCTTCGTGCACCTGCGAGAGGCGGGGCCTGTGCGGCTCCGGTTGGCACCGTCCCCCGCGCTGTCCGGAGTCACCCCCATCGGGGGGGGGCAAACAGCTCACCTGTAAATACGTGGCTTTGTACCTTCACCGTCGGCTGAAGACGTTGGTCGCTCTTACATTTTTGAAGTCTGACGCTGTTTGTAATACATCCTTAGACTGGAAATAAAATTTTCTTTTCTTATGGTCTCGTTCTTTTCCGTCTGCCCGTCCTCTCCACCTCGCGCCCCAGCCCTCCCGGCGGGGCCCCTGTCTCTGAGATCTGGGGGCCTGTGGGTCACAGGGAGCAGCATGGGGCCTCGCCTTGTAGTGGCCTCAAGTCTGAACGCACCAGAGACCCGAAAAAGGAAAAGCGGCTCCCGACAGCCGTGTGTGTGTGTGTGTGTGTGTGTGTGTGTGCATGCATTTGCACGTGTGTGTGTCGTGCACGTGCAGCGCGTGTGCATGTGTGGTAAGCGTGCTGCGTACATTTGCATGCGTGTGTGTGCATGGCGTTTGCACGTCTGGTGTGGAGCGTGTGCACGTGTGTTCACGCGCACGCATGCGTCGTGTGTGGTGTGATGTTTGTGTGCGATGTGTAATGCACACGGGTGTGGTCTGTGTGATGCGTGTGCGTGCTCCTCTGTCCACTCGCGACCACAGTGAGGGCCTCGGTGGTCGCACGGGCTCAGGCAGTGGCTCCCTGTGTCCAAGTGAGGGCTTTCTGGGCTAGTGAGTCCTGGCTCTGAGCCTGGGGCCCCCGCCCCCTGCCGTCTCCCCGCTTTGGTGGCAGAGCTCCAGGGACCCCCATCTCACGCCTGCGCGCCCTGCCCTGGCACCCCCGTCTCACCTGCAGCCCTGTTGGCGGGGGGTGGGGGCAGCTCCACGAGGGGAACTGGGGGGACCCAGGTCCCCGTGGAGGCCGAGCTGGGAGTTCCGGCTGGGGTTCCCGCCGCACCCCAGTGCGAGGAAGGCCAGGCTTTGGGTGCTGAGCGGCGCCCCGCCCCGCCAGCTGGGCCGCCTCGAGCCTCAGTTTCCTCCTCCATGGATGGGGACAACAGTGCCTCCTCCCCTGGGCACACGGAGAGGGTCCAACGAGGTGGCGGACACAAGTGTGCAGTAGGTGCCTGTTAAGGGGAGCTGTCACCAGACACCCCATCGTCCCCCCCGCCCCCGAGGCGCCCCGGCCAGTCTTGCTGCAGGAACAAATAAGGCTGTGACTGGCGTCTGTTCCTGCCAGGGCCCCTCGTCGTCCGGGCTCGGGCCTGCTGCCCCCGACGGCCAGGCTGGACAGGCGTCCCTCCGCCCAGAGCAGACAGAGGCCCCGGGGGTGGAGACATTCGGCCCCTCCCCACCACACCTGCCCCTTGCGGGCATCCTAGCTCCGGACTCCCGTCTCCTCGACTGAGACCGCTGGGACCTCAGGGGAAATCCGTTCGGGAGGCGAGGCAGGAGAGGCAGGCTGAGCCAGGTCGCCCAGGGGTGGGGCTTTGGCAGGGGCCGTGGCCTGGGCTGGTGGCGGCGCAGGCATCTTGTGTGATGGGGTGAAGCAGCGGCGGGGAGCAGGGCCCGGCCCTCCACAGCCGTGTGCGTCAGCCGCCCCGCACCCCGGGGTGGTCCTGTGCGTGGGGGCACAGGGGCCTTACCCGGTGGGGCTGGGCGCAACCAGAGAGGGCAGATGCGGACCAGGAGCCCTTTCTCCTGGTCTCTCTGGGGCCGTGTGCACCAGGGGGTGACGGGTACTGGCCCCCAAGGAGGGGGAGGTAGGTCGTCGTTTGTTCATTTTCCACGTTGCTCGTCGCGTCCCGCCCGTGCCCGGGGCTGGGTTTGAGCCTGTACCTGCGGGTCTGGCCCCTGGACGCGGGTGGGGCTGTCGGCACTTAGCGACTGATCCTGGCCTCCTGTGGGCAGACGGCCGGCCTCCTACGTCGGAGGGCGGTGTGTGGGGACTCCTGGGGGGCAGCTGGCCTCCCGTCGCAGTGCTGGAGGTCAGACGCGCCCTGCCCAAGCTCCAGGCCCGCCCAAGGGCTCTTTAACACCAGGTGACGGGTTAGACCAGCTCAGCGTGCTCAGGGGTCCTCGAGCCTGGCCCAGGACCAGGGTTGGGGTGCCGTGTCTCGAGTCTGTGGCACCCAGCTGTGTCCCCGGGAGCAGCGTTTCGGGCCTCCGCATCCACATTCCCATCCGCAGCTGCCCACCAGGCCCCACCGTCGGGCTGTGATCCCCAGACCGCTGGCGATGCTGGACCCTTTTCGGTCCCTTGCCCTTGGCCCTGGCGGGGGCTTGTTCCTTGAGGGCTTCCGGTGATTGAAGCCCAGGTGGCAATGGATGTGCCGTCGTGGGCCACTGTCCCTCCCTCCCGGTCAGAGTCTGTCCTCAGCTCCGAGGCCACCAAAGCCCCTTCCTCCCCCGGGCCCGCATGTCAAATGAGGCGCCACCAAGAGGCCCCTCAGCTGTTCTGGGGGATCTGGGCCTCCGTGGCCCCCCCCCCCACCGCCAACAGGCGGCCGCTGCTGACAGCCAGCAGGTGGCGTCTGGGGGGTACGGGTCCCAGCCCCTGCGCGTCTGGTGGCCTCACGCCCTGCGGCACAGCCCCGAGCAGAGCCCGTAAGCAAGACTGTGTTTATCACAACAGGCGGCCCGGACTCGGCCTGGGGGCCACAGTCACCAACCCCTCTCCCCAGAACAGGGCAAGCGGGTGTCGGGGCTGGTGGGCCAGCTGAGGTCCCAGGGAGTCTGGGCCTGTGTCCCCGGTAGGTGGCCCGACCCCGGCGCCCCATGTCACACTTGGGTTAGCGTCCTGCTTCTCGGGCTGGGTGCAGGATGAGTGTGAGCCGGACGGACAGACTGACACATGTTCTCTTTGGTCCAGGGAGCAGCTGCCCCACCCCCTGGGCTTCTGATGACACGTTCAGGTAGGCCCCAGCTTTGCACCGCCTCGGGACGGGGGAAGTGAGGGTCACGGTGGCTGTGGCTACGGCCGGCCAGAAACCGCACCCGACGGGGCAGCATGTGGAAGAGGGGCAGTGGTGGGAGCCAGGCCGGAGGGGGCTGTGGGCCGTGGGACAGCAGTGAGCAGCCGGGAGGGGCCCTGGCCCCAGCGGGGGGCAGGCCCGGGCAGTGAGGGGAGGGTGGCGGGGCTGAGTGTGGCCAGCTTGCCCAGGGGGGTGTGTGGATGGAGCGGGCAGGCCCGGGCCGCCTTGGAGCCTCAGCCTTCGGGAGGGACCCCTGTCCTTGAGGTGACGGAGAACAGAGGTGAGGGGTCCCAGTGACGGGCAGGGAGTGAGGGGAAGACTTGGGGTCCCCCAAGCACAGTTAGAAGGTGAGCCCTGGGCAGAAGCAGGCTCTAACTCCGGGAAAGGCCTGGGAAGTTGGGGGAAGCCGAACTTCCGGCAGGGTTGGCCTCGGGCAGGGTGGGGAGGGGTAGCTGGAGGTCAGGGCTCCTGACCTTACGCTCTTGGCAGGGCCTCTGGGCTGGGGGACCCTAATGAGCCCGGATTCTCCACCCTTCTTTGGAGATACAGGACACCTGTTGGGGCCGTTGCCTGCAGGCTGACCCGGAGGGGACGTCTGGGGGCAGGAGGGGGCGGGCAGGGCCATCGGCAAGCAGGGCCCACACCAGCTGGCCTTGGGGCTCCCTGGGCGGGGATAGGGTCCTGGGGGCCACCTCTGACCATACCGTCCCCTGACATCCACTCACAGACCGTCCTAGACACCTCCCCTGCTGTCCAGCCGCCTCCTCATAGGGGCCCGTGGCCGCTGGTAACCCAGGCACGGGGTGTGCCCACAGCAGCAGCAGGTGGGGCCGGGGGCACAGGTGTCAGGATCTGCTAGAGGATGTGGGCCCTTCCCACTGAGGCCGGGGGCTGGGGACTGGGGCCCCGGGTCTGGCAGGGACAGAGATGAACTGGGCCCAGGGTTGTGTGGCCAGAGCCTTGGTGACGGCGGGGGCGCCCAGGGCAGCACTCATCGATGATCTGCTTTGTTCCGGAAAGCATCTAAGGAGATTATGAGATGGTGGGAGCGGCTTGAACGCAAGGAGCAGGAGGGGGGCGGGGGGCGAGGGGGGTGAGATGGCAGAGTGGGGGGCAGCAGGGAACCAGGGGGGAGCTCACAGTTTGCAGGGGGTGGTAGGGCACAGCACCCCCTGTCCCTGACAAACACCAGTTAGAGGCCGAGGCCAGGAGGGAGCAGCCAAGGACTTTCTAGAACAGTTCTGGGCTTTCTAGAACCTTCCACCCTTCTCCTGCCTCCTACCCCCAGCAGACTGTGAACTGGGGAAGACATGAGTCTAACCCCGGAAGTAGCTGCGGAGTCTCAGGGGCTTGTCCACGTGACCTCGGGTCAAGGCCCAGCCCCCTTCTTGGTTTCGAGGAGCCCCTGTGCAGAGGCCGGGCTTCCTGCCTAGTCTCCCCTCAGATCCCTTTTCGGCCCCTGAGGGGCTCTCCCAGCTCCACCCAGGCCTTTGCCTCTGCCTTTCACCTGTTATTCCTTCTTGTCCTCTATCCCTCGGTACATGCCTCCTTCTCCAGGCAGCCCGCCCTGATCTCTCCTGGCCTCACCAGTCTAGGTGTCTCCCCCATCCTCTCGGGTTACGTGGGGGAGGGTCTGCATCTGACCCTCTGTGTGCCAGTCCCCTCCCCCCAGGCTGGCTGGGGGAGAGTCCCACACTGTTGGTGTGCAGAGCCCGCGTGGACACGGTGCGGCTGGGCCCTTCCCTGGTGCCCGCGAGGGGAGAGGGCCCTGGCCCTGAGCCACCTGCCAAGGCCACCGTCCGCTGGGAGGAGGCTTCCTCACCTGTGGTAGATTCTGTGTGCTACGAATGCAGCAGGGCCACCGAACCCCTCACCTCGGAGCTGAGATCTTCCGGGGACTGAAAACAGCCTGTTCTTTGCTTGATAAGTGCACACACGCTCTTCAAACTGCCAAACAGAGCAGGCCTGGTGGCATGACCTCGCTGGGCCCCGAGCGGATCCGGGCACCAAGTGCCCTAAGCCTGGCTTAGAAGCTGAGTGTGCGCAGGGCCCTCTCCCTGTTCCTCGGGATCAACACGTCCCGCTTTGCCCAAACCAGGAAGGTGGCCACCCCCACATCCAGCAGGAACCTGCCTTCCCTCCTCGAGGACCCTGGTCAGCTCGGTGCAGCGAGTCAGTGACGGCCGTTGCCTGATGCTCGGGCCCTCCCTCCCCTTCTCTGCGGCAGGGTCGTGGGTCTTCCTCATCTGGGACCCATCCCTGCTCCCAGTCTCCTGCACACCCCGCCCCGCCACGTACAGGCCTCCATGGGGGTCTGGAGCCTCTCCTGGGAGCCCCACGCCCTCCAGGCCTGCTCATCAGCACTGACGGGCGGCCCCATCTGCATGTGGACCCGAGGTCTCCCTGCGGGGTCAGTGAGAGGAACACGGGAGCAGTTTCCGGGGCTTGGAAGGCCGCGGGCATCAGTGTTAATGTGTTTTATATCAGTAAAGTGGGGGCAGCATCCCGAGGGGGTCCCACCCTGCACTGCAAGAAGGGGGGACCCTTGGGGGCCCCCAGGCCGGGAGGGGCAGGAACCGCGTGACTTGCTTTGGCTCATGGAGTCTGGTGAGTGACCCCACACGGCTGGGCCCCAGTCTGGCTCTGCCTGGCCACCACGTGCTCCTGGCCTTGGCCGGTGCTCAGGGTCTCTGTGGCCCCAACCTCCCCGCTGGGAGCAAGCAGGCAGTATTGTGCCCCCCACCCCTGGCCTTGCTGGGGCAGTTAAAGGGCAAGGGGGCGAAAGGCACCCGGGGTCTACCTGCTGAAGCCCCCAGCCCTGGGTTTGGCTCCCTTGACCCGCGGACAGCAGCTCAGAGACAGGATGTCCCGTGCGGCTTTCTACCGCCTTTATCCGAGGAGTGGGGAGCTGGCCGGCCCACCCCATGTGTCTGTGCCCCGAGGGGACCCTGAGGACAGGCGTGTGGGGGAGTCTGCTGGACAACAGCCAGACAGGACATCACCCTGGGTCCCCTGAGGCTGGGGTCCTTCCTTGTGGCCCGGTGTGCAGGGCCGTGGGGCCAGGTCAGGTGCATCTTGGCAGCCCGCTAAGGGGCCGCACTCCCTTGTCCCCTGGCTCGTGCCGCAGCCCCTCCAACACCC